CCGGCATGTGTTCGCTCATCTCCCGATCTACTGAGCCGACCTGTGACAGTCTCATTGTCACAGGTCGGCTAGAACTATGAGGTAAGTGAAAAGCACTCACCTCATAGTTCTCCTTTAAAGTGGATTTGCATCAAAACATTCCCGGCTGGTGAAAATCTTCCCAAAATGAGGGGAATCCCAGCTTTGACAGCTGTCACCACAACTGATGTACCCATTTGGAAATGTATCTTCACCTCCTGCTCCTGTGACAACTGTAAAGTTTTAGATTTCCCTTCCCTTTCTGGCCTGGTAATCCTTGTCCACAGGGCAAATATTCTGAATGTAGACACACATCGCAATAAAACCAGACAGAGGTCCTAGCCCTACTCCATTTTACTGACAACTATAGCAGAATACAAATGTTGGCTTGCCTTGTACTTTAAGTAATACACTATATACCAGAAGGATTTTACAATATTATACAATGTTTAACAATATACAACATTTTGTTCCGGATTTTACCTTACAGGCATAAACAGTGATTTACAATATTTCTTAAACCCTGCTAGCAAAATATACAATTTGTAAGCCCTATAACACTATATACATTCCTTTAATGAATCTATACATAGAACACCATGTGTGGTTATTTACTTTCAGCACAGATAAAGGCTATTACAATTATTCAATTAAAGACACCGGTAGTCAAGAAGCAGAAGGGTTTTTTAACATTTCTTTCTAGAGTTCTGCATTATGCATTGCAACTTTGTAAAATCTTTGCAGTTTAGCATCAGGCATCCAGATGTAATGCTCAAAAGAAATGTAAGCCTTAGTTCAAACTCCTTGGCAAAAATCCACCATCTCTTAAATTAAGCTTCATATTACTATATCATCATATTATTAGACTTATTTTTTTAATAAATCCAAAGCAACTGCTGATTTTGTTTAGAGGATTACTAAAGGGCAAAGTTTAAAAAAAAAAATCCTTGACACCGTGGTTGAGTTAGGCTAAAGCACAAACAAAAAAACGCAAATTGATTTTTATATAAACTCTCATTTGGAGAGATAGTGTAGAAAAATACAATGGAAGTGAGAAATTGACTGTCAATGACGAGTTGGATATGATTGCTAATCCAATGCTTCTAAGCAGAAAGTGGGTTCAGTTCCAGGTCCCATCCTTCTAGAGATGAGGGAGACTTCCCATGTACCAGCAGAATACCAGAATTCTCTGAAGGGCATTTTAAAACAGAATAAAGACTTTTGTGGGCCTCTATAAAAAAATTGTATGTAAAATGTCCAAAAACAAAGCCACAACATGCAAATTCCATTTTTTTTTTCCTCCCAAAGACGAAGATGTGGGGCAATGTGGCATTCAGGCATGTGCATGGAACGAGGGGTATCAGACTATTTACTGCCTGGGTACATAGTTACATAGTATTTGAGTTTGAATAAGACATAAGTCCATCAGGTCCAACCTGTTGTGTGTGTGTGTGTTTATGTATATGTCCCTGTGTCATCTCATTCTTAAGAGTGCCTATAGTACATTACGGTCTCTCAGGAAATCATCCAAAAGCTTCTTGAATGATTCCACACTATTTGCTGAAATCAACACGGCAGATAGCTGTGACAGGATCGAGGAGTGAGCGAACACCGGCATGTGTTCGCTCATCTCCCGATCTACTGAGCCGACCTGTGACAGTCTCATTGTCACAGGTCGGCTAGAACTATGAGGTAAGTGAAAAGCACTCACCTCATAGTTCTCCTTTAAAGTGGATTTGCATCAAAACATTCCCGGCTGGTGAAAATCTTCCCAAAATGAGGGGAATCCCAGCTTTGACAGCTGTCACCACAACTGATGTACCCATTTGGAAATGTATCTTCACCTCCTGCTCCTGTGACAACTGTAAAGTTTTAGATTTCCCTTCCCTTTCTGGCCTGGTAATCCTTGTCCACAGGGCAAATATTCTGAATGTAGACACACATCGCAATAAAACCAGACAGAGGTCCTAGCCCTACTCCATTTTACTGACAACTATAGCAGAATACAAATGTTGGCTTGCCTTGTACTTTAAGTAATACACTATATACCAGAAGGATTTTACAATATTATACAATGTTTAACAATATACAACATTTTGTTCCGGATTTTACCTTACAGGCATAAACAGTGATTTACAATATTTCTTAAACCCTGCTAGCAAAATATACAATTTGTAAGCCCTATAACACTATATACATTCCTTTAATGAATCTATACATAGAACACCATGTGTGGTTATTTACTTTCAGCACAGATAAAGGCTATTACAATTATTCAATTAAAGACACCGGTAGTCAAGAAGCAGAAGGGTTTTTTAACATTTCTTTCTAGAGTTCTGCATTATGCATTGCAACTTTGTAAAATCTTTGCAGTTTAGCATCAGGCATCCAGATGTAATGCTCAAAAGAAATGTAAGCCTTAGTTCAAACTCCTTGGCAAAAATCCACCATCTCTTAAATTAAGCTTCATATTACTATATCATCATATTATTAGACTTATTTTTTTAATAAATCCAAAGCAACTGCTGATTTTGTTTAGAGGATTACTAAAGGGCAAAGTTTAAAAAAAAAAATCCTTGACACCGTGGTTGAGTTAGGCTAAAGCACAAACAAAAAAACGCAAATTGATTTTTATATAAACTCTCATTTGGAGAGATAGTGTAGAAAAATACAATGGAAGTGAGAAATTGACTGTCAATGACGAGTTGGATATGATTGCTAATCCAATGCTTCTAAGCAGAAAGTGGGTTCAGTTCCAGGTCCCATCCTTCTAGAGATGAGGGAGACTTCCCATGTACCAGCAGAATACCAGAATTCTCTGAAGGGCATTTTAAAACAGAATAAAGACTTTTGTGGGCCTCTATAAAAAAATTGTATGTAAAATGTCCAAAAACAAAGCCACAACATGCAAATTCCATTTTTTTTTTCCTCCCAAAGACGAAGATGTGGGGCAATGTGGCATTCAGGCATGTGCATGGAACGAGGGGTATCAGACTATTTACTGCCTGGGTACATAGTTACATAGTATTTGAGTTTGAATAAGACATAAGTCCATCAGGTCCAACCTGTTGTGTGTGTGTGTGTTTATGTATATGTCCCTGTGTCATCTCATTCTTAAGAGTGCCTATAGTACATTACGGTCTCTCAGGAAATCATCCAAAAGCTTCTTGAATGATTCCACACTATTTGCTGAAATCACGGCCTGTGGCAGCGAGTTCCAGACCCTAACCGCTCTAACTGAGAAGAACCCCCTTCGCCCCTTGTGTATATACAAAAATAGACACAAATGCAGTCTGTAATACTGCATTTGTGACTAGAACTGGATCACTTTATTTATGAAAAGTGGAGAGCGTCTCAGGAGTTCAGTATTATGTAAAACCTGTCATGATAGAAATATGGGAGTTGCCACTGGTGACATTTATCATTTGCTGGTTACCTGGCTATCATGTTCTTCCTAATGTTTTACTACTTTATGCACTAAACTGAACCATTCAAGCTATAAAAAAAAGCAAAACGACTTTGCATATCTCTTATGCCAAAAAAATCAGTATATATATATTTTTTAGATTGCATTATATTTATAATCTTCCTCTACATCTACAGTACATGCAGACTAAGCTGTCTACAACACATAAGCAAGGGGGTTCCAACAGTAAAAAAAAAAAAAATCCAGACTTGTGTGGTAAAAGGTATTCAATAAAAGGTATTGTAAGCATTCCCAAAGTGTTAGAGTTTGTCCAACTCCTGCCACTGTTAATTTTGCTGAAATTATCAAAAATGAAAAAAATGTGAAATGATCAAAAGATGAAAAAGAAAAAAAAAAGAACACTATCCTAGCAGTTATTGACTTCCATACAGTTATTCAAAAACACTATTTTTGGCAACATTGATTGTTTAATGTCAGTTTGTTACCGAGAGTCACAGAAAGCATGGTGGGGGGAACATGGAAGGGATAATGCCAACATATAAAACTGGAAATGTGGTTTTTGGCATTTGGTTTTTTGGACCTTGTAAAATATTTTTTGGCAGTGTCATTAATTAAACACAGAACACACTTCACTAATTGCTTAATTACGAGAGGAAACAATGGAAAGAAAAAAATATACCACATTGTTTCTTGGCAAGAAAAAGGCTTGTGTTTTTGGACTTTACCATTTTAAGAGAAAGCTACGCTTGCTGTGCCTGCAAGGGTGCTTAGGGTGGCATGCCTATTTTGTGGTGCATGTAGGATGGTTGGTACGGTCAAGACATGGATGTGGCTAATAACAGCCTAGGCACTGTGGCTATCCATTTACTAGATATGTTGCTTATAATGCTACACAGAACAACCTCAGTTACATTTTACTTAAAGGGAAAACGTCATATAAAATTAAAGTTAGCCTAAATTAAATGACAAGAAGTAAACCAATTGGTCATAGTGCAATGTGACACAAAAGCCTTTCTGTTCAAGTGCAGATGGCAACAACCTGGCAAGCCAACCAAAAAAGATTTACTTTACCCTACATAGAGAGCTGTGTAAAAGCTAACAGCACCTTTGTCTTGTTACCCCAAATAAATGGGGAATCAGACATAGGAACAAGAGATTTATATTAAAAAATGGGAGAAAAGAAGAGACTCAGGTGTACTTTTTTTATGAATGTAATTTTTAGATTGTATTTTTACCCCTGGGCTATTGGGCCCATGTATTCTGTACTTTTCTGCCTACTGCTATAGTACTGGGAGAGGGAGCAGGGTCATTACACAGAAGGGAAACCTCCCTGCATGACATTTTATGACCCTTCAGGGGATTTATTATGACACTTGGAATGCCTTTCTTCCTAGAAAACATATTTGTTACAGACACTCCACCCTGGCTTTTTGATGAAAAGCTAGCAACCCAACAGCCTGAATGGTTCCTCCTCCCGCTTAATTACAATCATGTGTGGTATTGTGCTGTCTTTCTACTATGAACTAAGAAAAACTTTACAAAGTACTGGATGTTCGCCATTAGTCTGAGGGCCTGAAGAAACTAAACACTTCTACTTCTCCAACTCAGTGATCCCCTGATTTCGACAGCTACTGATTTAGACAACTACTATTTAGATAAGACAATGTCTTATCTAAATGGGTACTAAGTCAATGGATTGCTTAGGTAGGCCCTCACATTACATAGTTTTGGCAAATACTGGAGGAGACTGTAAAGATATAGTACAACCAGACTATGTAAAATCCTCCTTCTGTACAAAGAAAGTGCACATCTCCCTCCATATGCATGCCAATAGAACGGTCTTGTAAGGCTAATAACCAGTGGAGGCACTATAAACCCACTACCATCTTCTGACTGGCCCTGGGAAAGCCAAAAGCAGCCGACTGGATGTGCTGTATGCAATCCAATGAATTTGCATCCACTCAGATAGGTCCTTGTAGTTCAGGGGTGTGGAAATTTTTGAAAAAACTACTTGTCCAAGGGCTAAAGCAGGGGTCAAATCTACTTGTCCTTCATGACAATCTACTTGTCCCAATACAAAAAAAAAGTTTTAAAAGTATAAAACTAGGGAGGCACCAATACCAGTTTTTGGGTATCGAGTACGAGTACCAATATTTTGCTTTCAGTACTCACTGAGTATCGGTGCTTCCGTTGGCATGGAGCAGGCATCACGGTCAATCAGGAAGCCGAGCAGCGGGTAATGAGATGCCACCGGCTTCATGACTGCCAGGGAAGCCGACTCCATGTTGTTTGGCCGGCTTGATTGTGAATGGCTGGGAAGCCGGTTTCCCGGTCAATCAGCATCGAGCCAGCTTGCTAGCCAATCAGGAAACCTGGCGGAGAGTAATGACCTGATTAGCCGGGAAGATGCCTCGATGCTGATTGGCGGCCAATCAGTAAGGAGCTGGCTTCCCGGCCAATCACCTGACCAGGCTGACCAACGAGTGCTTGCAATTTGCGAGCAAAATTCAAAATGCATAGAGCAGGAATGCGCTGGACAGTATGGGGTAAGGACACCTGTACTGGCGGAGGGTAAGGACTGTTTGCTGAAAGTTAAATATAGCTGGCAGGTGGCGGGGTAGAAGAGACCGGGCCAGATTTGATCGGGTAATTCAATTTTCTCGTATTACCTGGGAAAGTGAACTTACCCTTTAATGCACATTGTGTGTGTGAGAGACTTCTGCTGCCCAGTGTGGCACACAGTGAAATGGCAGCAGGACTCAACACACACACACACAATTTCCTATGCGTGTGTTTATTTGTATGCAGATGGCAGGGGCAGCGGAGTTGGTTTTAATTTTTTTTTTTTTTTACTTTGTCACTTATTTTTTACTTTTGTACAACTTTTTTTTTTCATTTTATTCCTATCAAATATGGTGTTAAAATCCTCTATGTGATAGTTTGGAGGTTACAGGTTCTCTTTATGGAACCTGCCCTCCAACACAGAACAGATGTTCTGTGTAGTTCCTGACAGCCGAGACAGGTGGCGCTGTGATTACAGTGCCACGGTCTCAGTAATAGCACAGAGCAGACAGAGAAAGGAAGTTCTTCGTCTGCTCTGAGGGCTCTATGGTGAGCTCCCGTGCCGGGTCCACCAGAGGAGCAAGGGCCCCCGAAAACCACGGCGCGGGGGGGCGGACAGGATAGCCGATTCTTGCTTCATACAAGTGATCCACAATATACATTTAGCTCTGCTTGTCTGGAGCAGGGCTGAATGTATTAAAAAACTACTTGCCCGGCGCCCGAAACTGCCTGTCCCGGGCGTCGGGCGATAGGAATTCCACACCCCTGAAGTACATAGTGGTTGGTAGAATAAAAATTGATTTTACAATCAGATTTTAATGATTATGGCTAGTTTATGGTATGATGTAAGGTTCATAATCACAGTGCCAAGTCCTAGTGATGTTAGAATCAGCAGATACAAATGGACAGATTATTTACGAACACATATATATATGTTGACCTGTGGGCTATTATCTAAAAATAACAAACCAGGAGCATAGCTTAGAAGCTGTGAATAGCTGATATATCACCAACGTTGAATTACTATTTTTACATAAAACTCATTAGTGTGTGCATTTTTTTTACATATATGATAGAGTGTGTGATGAGCGTGAAGCACATAACATTATCCACCGATGTTAATGTTTTCTTCCTCATTAAAGGTTCCCTTAATAGAAAAATTAATTGCAAAAGATCCTGAAGCAGACACAGCACAACATGAAGTTCTGGAACATTACAAATCACACTACTTACTCATCGGCAATCTCAATGTAGATTTTCTGTTTTGTCTGCATCAGTGCAGTACGGTAGAGCTTTGTAGCCATCTCTATGAGATGATCGCTGCTGAAGAGGAAATCACCCTTGGATGCTGCTGCACAGCCCTAGTTTTGGAAAGATATTACATCCTTAATATAAAAGCTCTGTTAGAATTTTGTTTTCTCAGCATAGTTTAATTTTCAATTGAGATTAATACCTACATGAAAGTTACGTTTTGCCAGTGGGAGATTTTGCCCCTGGTAGCGATTTCTCCTCCTCCTTCCTCTCCCACTCTATTGCACAATTATACTATCAAAAGTGCAAACCTGTGGTCAGTCACTCCCTCAGATCCACTACAATCCCAAGTGCCTACTCTCCTATGTCCCCAGCCAATACAAAATATCACATCCAACCACTCAAGTGCTACTCACCCTACTCACTCTCCCCTCCCAGCTAATGCAAGGTCTCTCACAGCACTTGTCGCTTTTCTTTAACATTGATGCCAGTGGCAGTAATTTAAAGGTTTCTGATTGCTGGTGCAGAAACTAGCAGGGGAGACTAATGAAGAAAAGGGAAACCAATAAATGAAGCTCACTCCTACTGCCACCCAACATTTTATTACTAGAGCTTGCTGAGCTCCTTAGAATCTGTAAGGCTGGCTCCCGCAGCTCTAGGACACGGTGCTCACTTTGACAGATCAACCTTGCAGGGGTTGATCACAATGTGTGTACTCTAAAAAGCTTTACTTAACATACCTCCTTAAGATGGACCGCAAAGAATCCATCATTTTGAGAACTCATGCTCAGTTTTGTAATATCGGACAGAGAAACTTCTAGCTTGATCTGTCCTGACTTGTGGTCAGCAATAACAACATTATTCTTGGTCAACAAGAACATTCTGGCTGCTCCCTGGGAATGAGAAAAGATAGTGAGGTAAACCTGAGTAAATCTGGTTTCATCTAAAAAAACAAAAAAAAAAACAATATATATATTTAACTTAAAACAGTACAGTATTAAAGACATAGTAACCTCACTGCCCAGAGAAAACAATATACAAAAACAATATAACCTGTTTGTTTTTTTAACCAACCTTTGTTAAAACAAACCTTAAGTCTTGCAAAAGTTATTAAACTGAGCCGCTTGCAAAGACAGTTCGCATCATCTAGTTTTTGTTTTGTGTCCCCCCTCCTCATAGCATTGAAGCCTGCAGGAAATCCCCCAGCGACACTCTAAAAAGATTACAGATATATTTTTTGTGCATGCTGTGGTCTCCTCCCCAGTATGTTCCTCTGTGGGCCTTGTAGTTTTCGTAGGCTGCAGGTAGGGATATAAGGGCAGGATTGTAGGAGAGATAAATTGGGATGCAGGGGAAGGGGGGCTTTGAGTAAGGGCAGAAAAGATGGAAGGTTGAGGAGGATAGGGTTAGGAGTGGGCTGGGGGGCTTGGTGGTAATAATGCAGGGATGGTGGTGGTGCAGGATGGGTTTTGTAGGGGCATCTAGGAGTAAGCGGTTATTATATTAAGTATAATAATTTTGTCTTCTGGAACCTTATCCAGCAGACGTATAAATTGTATGGTCAAGTGATGCCTGCCTCTTTCTGCCCCCTCTCCGCCATAAAATTTTTTAGTGCCTCCACCAGCTCATCAATGGGCGGATTCGGCAGCAGCAGTGATTCCTTCACATTTAATCAATCAATATGTGGGAAGCCATTGAGGAATAATCAACTCAATTTTCCAGAGGACAGGCCATTATTAACTTGAACGGGTGACAGCTGCCACTTTTGAATGGAATATTTGGAATTCCTGCTGCAGGAAATCGCAAGTTCCTGCCTCACAAATTCTAAATTGCACCTAGTTGACAGGTGTGACTGAGGGCTTATTTGTACTATTTGAGGACTGGATCCAACATAGCCTTAAACAAGCTCAGTGGTGCTGTGCTTAGGGGAACATGAGCACTCTTACTATAGGAAAACATCGAGTATTTTTTTGTATGTCCCCTGCAGGCAAGGTTTCCTGGCAGGAATGGTTTGCCTAGCCTGTGAATGTTATTGAATACTATTTCCCAAGTAGCTGAATCCTTCTCCTGTTTTATTTGCTTGTATCTTTTTTTTTTTTTTGCAAACATGTATATTTTGTTTGTGGTCATACCCTCCACATAATGTTAGATTTTTACAGTGTTTAATAAAATATGTTTTACAAATGTATGATTTTTGTCTGTTTTCTGACTTAAAGCAAATAAGTAAAAAACTCAAGAAGAAATAGAATTGATGATTCCGTTAATATAATGTGTAAAGTGCAACTGTTTGAGTTGGGAACAGCAGTAGGGATGAGGATTCGGGTTCAGGTGAATCATACACTGGAATAAGGTGCTGTGCAAGAGTGGAGAGGTTTTGCCATCTCATTTAGCAAGATCCCCCTAAAAATGTGGCCTGTTCCAAGTATGGGGGTCCAGACATTTTTATTGCTCTCCCTTGGCTATGCTGGATGAAGGCATTGCTGTCCACTTATCTTGGGGTTGCCATTTTGCAGGTTTCCACATTTGCATTTATTTCACTACACTCCAAAAGATTTTGCAGGAAGTAGCAGGTGGAAAACAGGTCACACAAAGATCCAAAAATCAAAATCTGCTATTTTTGGATTAAGGTGTGGAGGCGTGTTGCGCTGCATTGACCTGTGCTGAATTGTATTGCGCTGCAAAAATTTTTATTCAGTGCACGTTTAGGGGTCATTCATATGTGCTCACATACCCGTGCAGAGCCCTGATCCTGGGAAGGACAGGTGCTACATGTAATTGCATGCAGCTGCCTGTACCTCCCTTGGGGAGGACACGGCTGCATGCGGTTACATGCAGATCTAAACCTGCACGTCTGTGTGGGTCTGGGTGCCTGCACTTGGACACACTCTGTCTGTGTCCAAGTGTGGGCACTCGGAGCCGCACAAATGTGCGGGTTTGGGTCTGTATGTAACCACGTGTAACTGCATGCAGCCACATCCTCCCATAGAGATACACAGGCTGCTGCATGCAAATTAACACAGCAACTGTCCCTCCCGGGATCAGGTATCTGCACAGGCGTGCATACGGGCGCGCATGCCCTTGTGAATGACCACTAACATGGCATGATGGTAAAGACGAACTCCATCTAACACATTTTAGGCAGTTAAAGCAACCGTTTTTTTTTACTTTTGGGATAACAGTTTTCCATAAATTAATAAAACACCTTTGTCAGGGTTAAATGGTTTGTCTCCTAAAGAAAACAAAACTAATGCAGTCACCACATTTAAGTATTTGTAAGTTGCAATATATGAAATGTTTTCTTTTGGGTTTAGATTAATTTTAACTCTGTGTAAGCTCTGACATGGCTCTAACGCTGTGTTAGGACTCCAAAGGCGGAGCCACACTGTTGTGAATGTTAAATTACCATCATCAATTAGATTCCAGCTGTATATTCTGATTCTGGAGATATGCATTCCAAACAATGTTTGAGTTCTATGAACAATGCCACTATTTTATTTTATAGCACTTTTATAACTCAGCCTCCATGCTATACATTTTATACAAAGTCTTACCTTTCCATTTGCTCTGTTGATTTTACTCACGGTGTCAGCTATAATTATCTTGTCTTCAATGGCATCACTTAACTTCTTATATTTTGGATTTTTGCTAATTTCCAAATAGTCACCTTGAAATGGCTGTCCAACACTAAAATAACACAAATTGTTGATTTTACAATAGGAAGTACTCAACTCCAACATGTCTCATATTAGTTTCATATAAAGGCATGGCCTTTACTATTGGCTTAGACAACTGAACGGACAAATTGGCCTCTAAACAGGACACATAACATTACTCTAGCAAAATACATTATCAATTCAAAAATAAAAACTTAAAAAGGAAATGTTCACTTTCATTTGGACTTGTCCCTTACAGCTCTCCCCTAACCCTCCGTCCCCTTCTCAGCACAATCCAATAAGGTAAATATCCAATTCTGGAGATTTTTACTGTGGGGCCTTACCTGGTTCCACACAGCTTTGGCTTGAAAATAGCCCTAACTGTGCCCTGAACCTAATGCACATGTACACTATTGTCCTCATTCATTACTATGTCTAGGTCAATACTCATAGGGTGGTTGTGTACCCCAGTCATAGTAATGAATGAGTACAGTGGTGCATGTGCATTAAATTCAGGGCCCAGTTAGGGTGTACATCTGCAGTAAGCACTGGACCCGGCTGTGACTATTTTCAAGAGAAGGCTGAGAGGTACTGTGCCCATGGTCCTCAGAGTGGGGTTGAAGGTACGTATTTACCCATGGGAATTACACTGAAGGGCTAAGAGGGTTTGTAAAGCACAACTTCACTATAAGTGAAGATATCCAGAAAAAGGCTCGCTTCACAAAGCTATAATGCATGCGATATTTTCTATAATGATCGCCATTTTTGGCCATGTTACTGTTATTTTCAAGTTTCAAAAAATAGTCAATATAGCTTGGTCTTTTGTTGACCATAACAAGTATTCAGTTTGCACTAGTGATCTTTTACAATCCAGCGTTGAAAATAAACTCAAGAAACTGACAAGTGGCTATGGGCAATACAAAATATTATATTTAGTATAATTTTCTTACATTCTCCCCGCTCCAATTATTTCTAAAAACGTGACAATTTTCAGGCAATGTATTGACTTTCAATTGGCTTTTGATCTAAAAAATAATCCAATGGTGTTTGTTTCATAGTTTTGTTGTGATCTACTTGGTCATATTTGTGAAGTGAATTAAAAAATGTTGGAAAGTAGACAAAATAACATAAAAGTTAGCAAAAGTGTTATATTATACTAAACTTTTAATGTAACCATTAAAATTAATTTGTTGCTTCCAAACATCAGTATAACTCAAAAAGTAAATCGGAAAAAAAATCAGAGGATTCAAACTATTATCTTTTTAAAAGAGTTCCTTATGGACTGTCAATTGGGGTCGTTTGCTTACATGCTTTGTGCTTGTGCTTTCCCATCTCAGAAATTTAGAAAGTATGAGGGTAGCATACGTTTTGGCAAAGTTTTAACTGTAGAAAGTGTCAGGACACCTTCATAAATTGGCTGTTTTGTTATCAAACTAGTGATTTTACTGGGCTATTTTCACATTAGTCTAAATGTGCTCAATACATTATGCAGATCAGCTCAATGGGCAAAATTATAAGAAATAATATTTCCCATGCAAAGAAAATAGCAACAATTTGACCTTATGGGGGTGATTTACTAACCTAAACACACACACACACCAGGTGTGTGTGATTTTCACACAGCAAAACGTATTTATCAACCAAAAAGTCTCTAAAAGCATATTTCCACTAATGCCATATATGGAAAAATCATGCACATGATGCATATATAATGCTGCTTCACAGTTTAGACAAAAATGGTTAGCTCATGCATTTACATTGCTGCATTCATCAACGCAAGCAACATAACATAGAGCTAATTTACACCACATTACCTTGCAATTCATTGCAGGGCTTTGCACAACACACCTGCTGGGTGTGTACACACTACAAAGGTGTTTTGATTCCTCCCATAGATCATGCTGGGAGGGAACACACTACAGAGGTGTATACACGTTCGTGGTGTGTTTAAAAGGTTAGTAAATCAACCCCTATGTCTTGTGTTTTTTTCTTGTCAACAGGACTCGTGTATACCACCAAGGTATGAATAGAATTATAAATTAAGGACACTATCTTCTCTGAGATCAACATGATTACAACAGTGTTGTCTCCTTGAGATCACAGGTTGCTTTGATATGCTAAAAAAAAAGGCCAACGGGCTGTACCATCACATTTGATGAGTGTCAGGGCCTGTGTTGACTCAGGAAGAGAACACATAGTAAATATATATAGACAGACTATTCTCAGAGACAGAATAGAGCTGAAAATTAATTTATGGCAGTTTCAAAGAGACTTCAGTTGCCATTCAAACACGGGCATGAGAAAGATATGATTGTGTTCTTTGGATCATTAATGGATTCCTCATGTAAGTGAATGGGAGCAACTAGGATAAAAATGAATAGACAGGAGACATTGGGAGGATTTCACTGAGGAACTTTGACCTGGAAACGTCAATGGAAGGGAAACCAGAGGAATACACTTGACAGTGGAACCAGAACAACAACACTAAGCCACGACAAGAAGCCATTTTCCTGAGAGCACTTAATCGCCACAAAGTCCTGTTTGATAAAGAATTTGTAGACCAACAACAACCAAACCAAGTGACTTTTAGTGTATACTCTTATGGAAACCATTGCATGTGCTAGAGAAGGGTATAGTGTATGCATGTGTATGTATGTATTGAAGCAGTCTATATTTTGTACTGTTTTTATCTGTAGCTAAGTAGTTGATGCACACATCATTTTTGTATTGTAAAAGTACATTAATACTACTTCAGGGTCAGTTTAAATACAGCTCTTACTCTAAAAGAAGATTGTGGCACCAAATAAAACAATCAAATAATTAATATTTGTGTTTACCTTAAAAAAAAAAAAAAGACATGGTATGCATAGCAGCCAATCAGCAAATCAGCTTAGTTTGATTGCACTGAAGTGATGTAACCTACTATCGGGAATTACTTAGTTGTAAAAACATTACATTCTAGAGACCCTGTAGTCTCTAGAAAAAAAAATCCCCCAAGGTACCCTGCAAGACAAGAGCTGTTATACTCACCACTCAAGAGGTGGCAGCCCCTTGTCTCTTACCTCCACTCCATTTCAGCACTGCAGCCTCCATCAGGTTCTTTGGCATTCCATACTTCAGGAAGTGTCAGATGTCTGTGTTCTCTGCACCATGCTGTGTTTTATCTTCCAAACCCTGCATTACTGTTGTATCCTTTATTGACCTGGGTGTTGGAGGAAGGAGCTCTACTATAAGCTCATGGTCGCTATAAGCTCATGGTGAGCTTATAGTAGAACTGTTCCCCGGACTGTCCCTTTCAAATTAATAGCTGTCATCAGCAGCTCACAAGCCGCTGTTGACTGCTATCATCAAAAATACCGGCCGCCGGCATCTGGAGTCACCCCAGGGAGGGATGAGAGACTCCATGGATCCCCGCTGCTGTCCCCCGCTTGTAGGGTCTGTGGCAGCGGGGATCCGTAATAAAATCACAATGGCGGCTCCGCCAGGTTCTCTGACAGTGTAATGACAGTCCAGCTTCCACTAGTTACTAGGTAACCAGTAGATGCTGAACTGTCATTACTCTCAGTGTAATGACACATCAGCATCCGTGGTTAGCTGCTAACCAGGGGACGTTGATCTGTCTCTGCATGCAAGTGGCCAGAGCCAACCGTGAGATGACGGCTGGCTCCGCCAAGCTGTCAGTAGCAGGTTGTCGGCCGGCCTTTCCAGCTTCGGCTTTCACCTCGGCTCAAGTGAATAGCCCGTACAGCAGCCCTTCGGTTCTACTGAACTGAAGGGGTCATGGGGCCTAAGCTAGCCGAAGGATCAGCCGAAGCTATGGCTAGATCCTTCGGCAGCTTTGTGAATAACCCCCATAGTACTATGTGTCCCCAGTTATGAATGAACAGGCTGTGATACAAATTCATTCATTAATTTCTTAATGGGGAGTAGCACTCCATATCGAGGCTTCTCCCCATTCATAAACTGCTTGATAGTAAATATTTTAAAAACAAATCATCAAATCAAAAAAATGTGTACATTCTGAAAAGTGAATTCATGAAGAGAGAAAAGCTTTTTACCTGGCAGGGTACAATGATTTCTTATCCTTGAAGAGTTCGCTGGCATCCAGTTTTTCATCATATATGAACTTTTTCTGCTCTGTGAACTGGTCCCTGTACTTTTTACACTACAAAACACAAAGCAATGGGAATTTTCAGAAGAGGAATCTCTACTAAATATTAAACTTTACTCAGCTGGGCTTTAAATCATAATATATTTTCTGTGAAAGCGAATGTTGGTATTGTTTTGGTAAATGCACCTGTGCCCAGACTATGGACATTACACAAGTTACATATTCTTAACATGCAGAAAAGCTGCTTTAGCTGCTTGTAATGTAAAATTGTAATGTGAAGTTATTACTTCTAAAAATCATCAAAGATCACAAGACTCTAATGTCAGGTTTCAGATGGTTGCTTAGAAACATCTGATCGTTATTTACATTAGAGGCCTAATTCTGTTCTCATAGAAAAACAATGCCAGAGTTGTAACTTTGAAAATCAATTTCTTTAAATGCTCATAGATGCAAAGATCAACAAGGTTTGTTTTAAAGTGCTTTAACTGCTTTGATTTCCAAAACAGCCGCACTCCACGAGTCGTCTTGCATAAAAACAGTCTAATAAATCAGCAAATATACACCATCGTAGCATAAGCTAACACTTTTCACCACTCTATGACTAAGCGTGGTAAGCCTTAAGAGTGGTGAAACGCGTTAGGGTTTTGCACATGGGGATTGCTACGATAGTGTATATTTGCTGATTTATTTAAATAAAGACTGTTTTTATGCAAGACGACCCATGGGAGTGTGGCTGCTTTGGAAATAGAAGCCAATGGAGGTGGGAATGCACCCTTTAGCCTGCACCTGTGACGTGCATGTTGTGTAAGTCCGGTTTTTGAATTAGAGCGGTGGGGATCTCTTGGAGCTGCTTTTACTGCTTGCTCAGAATATGTAATTACTTGAGTGTGGATGATATTGGCACAGTTAACTTTTGGTGTTTACTGCTACCATTAAAAGAGATTGTAAAATATGTTTAAAGCTTTAGAGAATTTTACACAGAGGAGGTATTCTACTGCGCATGTGTTTGCAAGCACAGAAGTGTACACACCAAATGAAATAAAAAAATTAATACACCAATACTTTAGGAGGAGATTCCAATTATATATACCCATACATGCACAGACTTCTTTCCTATGAAGGCACAGTATTCACTTAAATAACTGCCCCAACTGTTCATAGATTACTGTAGATATTTTAGGTAGGCTCTAATTTAAAAATTCCAAAAGTCAATTTACATCTATAGCTGGTGCCACAAAGCAAACTTCACAAAATTTGTGGATGCTTTACAGAAGAAGTCGTCTTTCCCCACATTTCCAGGATGAAAGTCTTGAAAAAGCTGACCTGCTTTTTTGATAAGACATATGGGACTTAAATATGAAAAAAACAATTAGTATCCCACCGCAGTCCTTACCAGAAGCCCCTTATGAAGTGGCTGCTGAAATGACTGTGGTTGACGCCACTAGCTTCAATAAACAAGCAGAACGTCACCAGCACAGCTAAAAAATTGGTCAGACGAACGTCCTCTTTATTCACACATTGTTATATAAATAACGGTTCAGGGCCGCGCCTTGAAACAAAGCTGACTGCATGCAAGAACCTAGAAATGTAAACTACTGGCTGCCTGTACTTGTCTACAAGCAAATGTACACTTTAACTACTACAATACTCTCTCAATACTCACATACACGGATTGTCCACACAGGTACCCAACACGCTAAAGAACCCTTGATTAGATCCTGCAGTCAATGTAAACAGCTCTGAGATCAAATTATATACTGAATATCAGATATGAAAATATTAAATTCTGAGTCATTTTAGAGTGCCCACTTCGAAACCTCATTTAACCCTAAAGCGGTGTAAATAAGAACTGCCTCAGTACATTTATTCTGCAGTGGGTAGTCATGGCATTCCCTCTTCTCCTGCAGCACGCACCTAGATTCATCATATGGAATGTGCTTAGTGTGGCTGCCCCTGGCTTCTTTCTAAAAACTTCCATGTTTAGTCAAAATCTAGGGAATGGCTACACCCAGGTGTCAGAGCAATGGAATTGCCCTGCCTTGCTGCAAGTGTGCTGGAGTTTTAAGAGAGGAATGTTGGCTCATTCTTGCTTGATATAGGATTCTAACTGCTCAACAGTCCTGGGTCTTCTTTGTCATATTTTTTGTTTCAAACGTTTTAAGTTGGATGTCTGGATTGCAGGCAGGCCAGTTAAGCACCCAGACTCTTCTTCTAAGTAGTATTGAAGCCATGCAGTTGTTATAGATGCAGTATGAGGTTTAGCATTGTCCTGCTGAAATATTCAAGGCCTTCCCTGAAAAAGACATCTTCTGGATGGGAACATATGCTGCTCTAAAACCTGCATATATCTTTCAGCATTGATGGTGCCTTTCCAGATGTTCCCATTTCATACACACTTATGCACCTCCATACCATCAGAGATGCAGGCTTTTGAAGTGAGCGCTGATAACAAGCTGGAAGGTCCCTCTACTCTTTATTCCAGAGAATGAGGCGCCCATGGCTGCCAAAAAACTATGTTAACTTTCGATTTTATCTGACCACAGTTTTCCAATGTGGAACAGACATTTGAAATGAGCTTTGGCCCAGAGAAGATGGTGGCTTTCTGGATCATGTTCAGATATGGCTTCTTTGCATGATAGAGCTACAACATGCATTTTTGAATGGCACCGAGAGCTGTGTGCACAGACAATGATTTTTGTAAGTATTCTTGAGACCATGCAGTGATGTCCATCACAGAATCATTACTTTTTAATGCAGCACCGTCTGAGGACCCGAAGATCACGGGCATCCAATATTGCGTTTCGGTCTTGTTCCTTGCGCACAGACGTTTCTCCACATTCTCGGAAGTTGAATCTTTTGATATGTACAGTGGGTAGTGATATATTTAAAGTCTTTGCAATTTTACATTGAGGAACATTATTCTGAAATTTACCATTTTTAGATGCAGCTTTTCGCAGATAGGTGAACCTCTGTCCATCTTTACTTCTGAGACACTGACTCTCTAAGATGCTCTTTTTATACCCAATCATGTTAGTAACCTGTTGCCCATTAACCTAATTAGTTGCTAAATTTTCTTCCAGCTCTTCCTTGTTAGTACCACTTACTCTGCCAGCTTTTTGTTGCCCTGTCCCAACTTTTTGGAGACGTGTTGCTGCCATCAATTTCAAAATTACCTTTTTTTTTTTTTTTTAAATGGTACATTTTCACAGTTTAAACATTTGATGTTTTCTATTTTCTATTGTGAATACAATATGGGTTTATGAGATTTGCAGCTCATTGCATTCTGTTTTCATTTATATTATACACAGTGTCCCAACTTTTTTGGAATTGGGGTTGTAATTCTGCCTGCATTAAGATCTCTGTATATTGGTTGCCAAATACCACATCGTACATCTCCACAGTGGTTAATCTACATACTACCATCTACAAATAACTGCTTAAGAAAAGTCTACTGGTTTATTTTTGTGACATTAATTGCACACATTTACATCAGCTGTAAAACTAGACAGGAAGTTTATAATCACCACACTGATGGAATTTTCCCATTTCCTCAATAAAGGAATTTATTTCCCATCCCCCAAAGCCTGTTCAGCAGAGCACAGATTATTGTAAATGAAGACTGGAAAGTTTAATATGCAGAGAAGCCAGGCCAATTAATTGTTAAATTTGTTTTACACCCTAGTAAAAATCTCATGGAAATACAGCTGGCATAACTAGCACACACACTAAATAAATATACATACTCATATATTCTCTCTCTGTATACATACAAGCACAAACTAGATAGAGAACTGACTAGACAAATATTCCCAATTCTCACCTTCCCCAAAGTAGCTAAGTGTACACTTGCTCTTCACCCCATTTCCATATATTCAGCATATATTCAGTTTTGTGAACCATATAGTGTTCTCTGATTACAACAAATCATTAAAAGCTGTCCTGATCAGAGCTACATTTAGGCCTTGTCCACACAAGCTTCAGCTTGTATAAAAACAGCTTGTAAAGCAAGCTTTTGTAAAACAAACATTCTCCAAGCTTCAATTAGCTTTGTTTCAAGCCTTACAAAGAGCCCTTAGATTCCCCCATCCACAGAAATCCTAATGCCAGGCTACAAAATTGTGACAGTGGCAGGTGTGCCGATGCCAGAATATCCAAACAGTGGCTGCAGCTGATTGGCTGAGAATTTTCAGACAGGCTCCTTTGACAAAAGTCCATTGCAGAATCTACTTTTGGCAAATAGAGGGGAACCAATGGGGCCACACACTGTTCAAATTTTGGCCCGAGTCAAGCAGTATATGGCCAGCTTTAAGCTCCAATATGTTGATGCCGCACACAGATCTTAATGGGAGTGCTGATTGCCACTTTGAACAATCTGTAAGCAGGCTTTAGTAAGCTTGAGCACTGCTACCTTCTTGTTTAAAATTAACACTGCAATGAAGTCCTAGGTTTAATAATATACTAAACCTGAAGTTTTCTTTGAAGGCTTCAACAAAGCTATCCAAAGTTTTTAAAAGCCTTTACGAATGCTTTCCAAAGCTTGAATTCAAGCAGAGGCTGTGCAACACCAGACAGTCCTCAAACCGAAGAGTGCAATGTTGGGTTGTAGGTCAGTTTGGTCTAAACTGGAAGTGCTTTGGACTAGACAGATCCATTAAAATAAAACATCTGTTATTCTAAACTTGCAGAACAACATATTATTTATGGAGTGTAGCAAATGAGAAACCTTAGGATAATGATTTATACTATGCTACTACAAATGATAAGATAATGGCTCATTACCAATAGTGTCTGGTTACCAAAGAAAATTTGTTACCAAACAAGCCAGGACAAAGACTAATGCAATATTAACAGAGGTGCCTTATTGTAATAGAAAAAAAGGCATATTACTGGAAATCCCTTGTATCAAATATCAAAATATTGCCATATAACAAAATACAGTATAATCCACATTAGTGAGGTGCCATGTTACCAAAAAAATGTGTATGTATACAATACAAAATAATGCCACAATGTCAAATATATTATTTTAAATAGATCTCTAGCTGTGAAACTGTCTCACAAGGAAATTGAATACTGGGACACATAGTTCCATAATAGTGGAAAAGCTATTAATTTGTATATGCAGCATGATGTATTGAAGTGATTCCAAGCTCTTTACTTCCTGTGAGGGACTAAAATCTCAATACAAATTAGTAAACTAAACATGAGATTGTAGTCCATCCCAGAAGTGAGTTTGTTAATAGATAAGGGCTAGTTCACACCAGATGCAGTTGTTATGCAGTCCGTTCAGTTTGGCAGCTGCATCCCAATGTTTTCCTATGGGATTTCTGGTGCTCTATACACACCAGTGCAGTCCGTTCCGATGCAGTCAGAAGAAAATACTGCTTGCCCTATTTTAGCTGCATCAGATCGCACTGGAACGCATCAAACCGCATGCAAACCGCATGCAAACGCACCGGAACGCAATTGAAATCCCATCTTCAGCCAAAAAAAAACACCCAAAATGCATCAATCGCGGTAAAATGCATTGCATTGCAGCTGCGCAGACGCACACAGTTCTGGTGTGAACTAGCCCAAAGTTATTTAAAAGCATTTTTTAGATTTTACTCCTGAGTTTAGTGTCACTAAGGGTGGGGCTGTATTCTCTGCCACCTCTAATGGACCAACGAATGAGACAGGTCCTGGATGAGAGTCTGTTAGGGAGGCTACTCACCAGCGCATCCAGAAAGCCGTAAGTGCCCACTTAAAACCAGGAATTGTGGGTATAGAAAGAGGGAGGTGGAGGAGAAGAGCATCAGGACGACAGCTTTTTCATGGTTCAGCTACAAAAAATTGCATGGGTGGCATAAAATTTGAGAAATGTGTCCTAAATGCCTGGGACTAGACATTCCTACTGCCTTAAAAAAACAAAACCGAGATGTGTTCACATTGCGGGTGATATTATAAACCTCTAGTTAGAGTGCTGCCCAACATATTCCTTGTTTCTACACTAAACATGAGCTGAGCAGCAAGTCCAATTGTACTCAGTTCTGAGCAGTGGCGTCGCTAGAGGGGGGCGAGGGGGGGCAATTGCCCCCCCTAGTTTAGTCCTTGCCCCCCCGTGTGCCCCCCCGCTAACAGTGGCAGATACGAGTGTGCACCCACTGCTTGTTCAGTGAGGCCGGTGGCCATCCCTGTCACAGCGGCGGAGGGAGAGACCATTTTCTCGGGGGGGGGGGGAAATTGCCCAAGGGGCGGGGGGGGGACAAGCCCCCCCCCCTAGTTTAGTCCTTGCCCCCCCGTGTGCCCCCCCGCTAACAGTGGCAGATACGAGTGTGCACCCACTGCTTGTTCAGTGAGGCCGGTGGCCATCCCTGTCACAGCGGCGGAGGGAGAGACCATTTTCTCGGGGGGGGGGGGAAATTGCCCAGTTCCCCCTCCAACGAGAAAATAGTCTCTCCCTCCGCCGCTCTGACTGAGAGGCCACCTGTCGCACCGAACAAGCAGCGGCTGCACAGGCTCCAATCAGGTCCCACGACGTCAGTCACATCCGCCCCATAGCCGACGCCAGGGGAAAATAGCTGCGGAATTTGAAGTGCCTCGCCGACGCCGAGTACAGCAGCCTGCAGGCACACTATATGGGTCTCAGGTGGGCTCTGCGGGGTCTCAGGAGTCTCACCTGAGCCCAGTGCTTACCTAAGTCTAGAGTCCATTCATTCCTAAGTCCAGAGGCCAGTGCCTTGCAAAGTCCTGAGTCCAATTCATATACAGTTCTGCATTGCTGTATAACATATTGCTGGGATTTGTAGTACAGCCGGTGCCGTCCTGCATTAGAGTGTAAGCTCCTCTGTACAGAGATTGATGTGGCTGGCTCGGTGACCTCTGTACATCTCTGCAGTATATGTCATAGCTATATTAATGTATAATAATAATAGTAGTGTGAGACTGTGGGGGATGTTAGTATGTAAGCTCCTTTGGTGCAGATACTGCCTGGGGGGGGGGAGGGGGGTTGGTCCTTAGGTCCACCACTGTTTTTGCTGTTGGTAAAAGGTACAGTACAGCACTTAGTAGTTTCACGGCCCATCTTCCCTCTAACTTGGTACCTTCCTGTACATGCAGGAAGGGGAGTTTTCAGGAGGCGGAGCTTGGTCTGTTGCGGCCTTTACCAAAGAGTGATCAGGGAGTGGAGCAGAGTCGCTTGAGTGGTAAGGTAAGTGTTCTAGCAGCCTGATGATGGGGGGCCCACACACAGCCTGCATAGAGCCCGCAGCCCACCTGAGAGCCCATCTAGCCCACCTGACAGCCTATACAGGATTAGATATGCCAGTGGATAGATGAGGGGTTAGTATGTTAGTACAATATCAAGGTATCCTTGCATACCGCATTACTCTCATATTTCTAATCTTATTTATATATACTTATTTAGTTTTTTTCAGTGGTATGATTTAGTGGTGACGTTTATTAGTGCCCCCCCCAGTTTTGACTGTGGTATCTTATGTGCCCCCCCTATATATTGTTCCTAGAGTCGCCACTGGTTCTGAGCCCAAAAACATGCACAACAGTTCATTCAGAATGGATTGATTTCTTAGTAATAGTGCTCAAAACAAATTCTATATTACCCTTTACCCCGGGGAAAAACTTAAGTTTAAATATGCAGCAAGATGAGGACCACATAAGTGGGCAAAAATTCTGATAACCCATAACTGTTCTGTACCAATTTAAGTTGAAACCTAATTTCTATATGTTCTGCCTTTTTTACCTTATGAAGTGAAATTAAAGCGCTTTTTTATTGCTGTTAAAGAAAGGCATTTGTTTTGACTTTGTTTCTTTCATGGTATGAAAAATAAAAAAAAAGCAAAACTACACACGCCTCCTGTACTGGCAGTATGTTTAGAAGAACTGCAGTTGTCAGCAGCATCATTTCTCCCATGTGTATCATTACTGGCTTTACCAATCCGCTTTCTGGCAACCTCAGTGTCCAATGCTGGAAAGAAATGTTTTCCTAATATCTTCCTAATATGAACAGCCTGGAAACATTAGAGTTAGATGATTATGGCTTAAATAAAAATCTTACCCTCCACAGATGGAAAATCCTCTTCATTTCCGTATGTGTGCTATCCAAAAAGAGGTAAGGTCTTGCTGGCCAATTGTTGTCTATGGGTGATACAGAAGGAACTTTTGTCTTCATCCCCAGAAAGTACTTTTGCATCTGTAAAAAGGTTAGAAAACTTTAATATTTACTTAAGTAGTATTAAACTCAAACTTTATTTCACTAATGAATCCAGATCAAATATACACTGGCCAGCAATGTATTTCTTTACATTGTGCCCAAGCTTTTAACCCCTTCATGACTGAGGCCTTTTTTTCATTTTTTGCACCCATGTTATATTCCACATTTTAGGCCTGAAAATGACTTAAAACCCCCACACATTATATATTTTCTGAATGCCAAGACCCTATAGAATAAAATGGTGGTAGTTGCAAATTTTTATGTTGCGCAATATTAGCGCAACTCCAAAACACAACAAAATACCAATTTTTTAAATGAAATATAAAAGATGAGGTTACAACGAGTAAAACAATACCCAACATGCCCAGTTTACAAATTGCGTGCGTCCGTGAAACGGCGAAAAACTGCAGTACCCCAAAAAGTCCACAGAAGAAGCTTTAAAAGCCCCCACAGGTCATCAATTTAGAGATACCCTAAAATACTGGCCCTAGAATTATTGCTCTCACTCCGGCGTGCGCGGCGATACCCAACACATGTAGCGCGTTCGTCGTTTTCATACATAGGCGCACCTGACGCGTTTACGCGGCGACGCGCGTGCTGGCGGGGGACTTTAACATTTTTTTAAATTATTATTAGATTTATTTTATTTCATTTTAAAAACTTTTTTTTTTTAACTTTACTTTGACTGCTATCACATGGGGGGGCTTACAAGCCCCCCCATGTGATAGCAGATGGTGGTGACAGGTACTCTTTAAGGTGATGCTGTGTCACTTCTTCGGGACACAGAAGCGATCTGGCGACAGGTAAGTCGCAAGAATCGCTTCTGTTGTAAAGCCGACAGTCGGCTTTACAAGTTTAAACAGACGCTATGTTGGCGACGTACACTGTACGTCGTCAGTCACGAAGGGGTTAAAGTCATCAAGGGGAATTTATCGAAATCTGGAACATTTGTGCACTGCAACCAATCAGCCCCTCTCTTTCATTTTCAAATCTTAACTGAACAAACTGAAGAGAGAAGCTGATTGGTTGCCATGGGCAACTGCTCCAAATTTTGTCTGCTCCAGTTTTGATACATTCCCCCCATCATGTTTCCAAACAGCTAGCTCAAACTCTCAGACCAGCTTTCCTGAACGTCATTGTCCAGTACAAGATCATAAGGGACAGCATCTATCAATCTACTAGCTTCTGATAATGTTCTAATGGAGTTCCAAGTATTCTTGCATCAGCATACACCTCCCCAGAGTAATAACTGGTTGCTCAGATGGGCAGTGGTGGGAGCATTGGTTACCACTGGGGAGATGGACTATTATGTGTGTTGATGGGGGTTTCGGGCTAGATTTATACTGTTCCATGAAAATTGTTAAGTGTGAATAGACTTTCAATGTATCATCTGGTATAGGTGGATTCCCTTTGGACAGTTCTCTGAAGAACATGGGCTATAAAGTGTCCCATCTCAAACACAGCTTTAGGGCCTATTCACATTTGTCTGTTTTCCTGCAGTATAACACATACATTTAGCTGCATGAAAATGTAAAATAGAAATGTCCTATGTGGCCATTTTGTATTCATTCATTGCAGTTAAGCATGTTTTGAAAGGGAAACTAAATGATACCATTTACACCTATAACTTTGCATTATCACGCAACGTGCAATCCACAAGAACAGTGTGAATCTAGCCTAAAACGTCATGGAGGAAAGCACCAAAATTGAGATGTAAGGTGCTGCAAGAAGCACACAACTCACACTGTACAATTTGGCAGGGCGGGTCAAGTAGCTGGGTTTAGAGTACAATAAAAAGCAGTGCTTTGGGCAGAAAGCAAGCTACTCTGAACAATTTGAAAATTTAGGTAAAGAGAAACACTGTGGGGACAAACTCAGTTTCCTCTGATTAACACAGAACTCAGAACACATGCCCTGAGATGTTTAAAGAGGCACAAAACTCCTGGCTACATTTGTTACCCATGGCCCCTCATCGCTCTAAACTCGCTCCCATGGACTGCACTCTCAATACAAATTAGTAAACTAAGCACGAGAATGTAGTCCATCACGGAGTGGTAGCTACTTTACAATACACACAGGGACCATGAGGAACAAATGTAGTCACCCTCCAAAAAGCAGAACAGTGTCGGCACCAATTCAGAGAAGATTTGAGGCTCTACAGTGGACTGATGCACAAATAAGGTGCAGTTTTGTTAATAGTTAAGGTACTTGAATGCATGTTTAAGATTTATCTCTTGAGTTTATTGTCACTTTAACACTTTGTTAGGACAGATAGTGTTATTATCTAGTTTTCAACTGATAATGGGATCTTCTAGCACCGTACAGAATAGGGTTATGTATGGTAAACATTAACTCCACAACACCCTCCTTACATTACATAGCAGGGGAAAAAACAGTTTAGGAAATTTCTGGAAAGAGTGAGTAAAGTGGCATTTTTTTAAAAGATATGTTATGTTAATGGGAACATGTAACAAATGTAAAGTTGATATCCCAAAATGGTCTGAGTTGGACCTAAAGGGCCATTGTAATTTTAGTTTTGGGCAAAAGCCTTATATATAAATCTACCTAAGTGATATTTTGTTTTGCAAACTGGCCATTGGGAAAAAAATTACAATACATAAAAAAGTATGATTAAAAAGGTCTGAGCTACTGCAATAAAGATTACAGTGACAAAAGATCTGCTGGCTGAGGAGGAACATTTTAATGAAAGAATTACAAATACACCACTGCCACCAAATTGTGCTTCAACAGCTGTCAAAACAGTCTATTGACCTTGTGCCCCGTGCTCTAAGAACTCAATCACACATTACAATGTAATAGTTTCTGCCCCCTTTGCAATATTCACATCTCAACTAGTGCAATTTGCAACAGGGGTTTACATTTTATGTTCACAAGCAATTTAAACTCAACTCCAGGATCACTCCAATCCCACGCTGTTTATTTTGTCATTTTACTTCTAGTGCCTTATACCAGTGCTCCCCAACCTTTTTACCGCCGCGGACCGGTCAACGTTTGATCATTTTACCGCGGCCCGCTGAGGGGGGGACATTGATTGTTTATATTTTAGATTGTTTTGATTTAATAATTTAATTGTATTTAAACATGCCTTCAAAATAAAATACAGTTACACCAAAAAATGAATATAAAGTGATTTAACAGAGCAGCAGTGACGCACATGGTCATGTGACAGCCATAGGAGGAGTGACGGTCATGTGACAGCCATAGGAGGAGTGACAGTCATGTGACAGCCATAGGAGGAGTGACAGTCATGTGACAGCCATAGGAAGAGTGACAGTCAAGTGACAGCCATAGGAAGAGTGACAGTCATGTGACAGCCATAGGAAGAGTGACAGTCATGTGACAGCCATAGGAAGAGTGACAGTCATGTGACAGGAGGCAGTTAATTGATTGTCAAAAAAAACACAGCAACTAAGGACAGAGAGATCACTTTATAAGCCCCTCCCCCAGGTTCCAGGTCACGTGTTTAGGTCGCACTCACCCTCATTGTTCCACTCCAAGTGGGTGACCTGCACCTCTCTGTGCCCCACAGCTGAGCTCAGCCCCCTCTGCACAGCGTTTCCGACCAACAGCCAGCTGCCGTGTCAAACTCCCCATTGCCGGGCGGTGTGAGAGCGCGCACACAAGAACTCCAACCGGACTGCAGGGAGGCGGCGTCGCTGGAACCCTGCTATCTGATTGATCTACGCGCTGACAGCGGATCCGTCTCCCTTAAACCAGCCCCGTGGACTCAGGCACAAGGATTTTCCTCACACGCGAGCGCCGCCCACCAGAGCAGCAGTGACGCGACGATCGGTGCGACGCGGCACAGTAAGTATTAAAAAAACACGCAAGCTTTGGGGCTTTGTATCAGGGCATTTTGACAAGTACAAGTACTTGTCAAAATGCCCTGTTAATGTTCCTTAGGCGGCCCGCGGCCCGGTACCATTTGATCCACTGACCGGTACCGGTCCGCGGCCCGGGGGTTGGGGACCACTGCCTTATACAACTGTTTAAAGTACTTGTGACCTCATAGCTTCTCTCAGCAATGTTTGCAAGTCTATGGCACCTGGAGATAATTTATTTTTTGCTGCCAATGTAATTATCTGAAACTACATGTCCCATGAATCTTTGAGACTCATGTAGTTTCAGGGCGGTACTGTAGACAGGTAGGGCTCAGGAGGTAGGCATCACTTGTATGCTGCAAGTACACTACAAGCAGGGCTCAGGATGTAGTCACAAATGGGTGGACCTGTATGCTAATTGTGAACCATTCAATTTCACCCCAGATGTGGTGATGTCACCTCTTCTGTAGTCTCAGAGACTTCTGGGGAGTCTAAACGACTTGGTTCCAGAAAGAAAGTGGCCATGTGCTTACTTTCACACAGCCAAGTAGACCACAGAAGTAAGCCATTAATCTGGAGGAAGTAATATGTACTATATACTGTAATTATGTACGAGCTGGCGGCATGGGAAAACATCAAGTCCATTGGAGACTTTAGGAGATATGTACAAAACCATTAATAATGTTATTTACAAAGTGTGAGTTACACTTTAAAATCTCACATAGAATGCTCAAGAAAGGACTTTCGATACCTAGATTCTGATTACCTATAAATAAATACATTGAGGGGAATTTTATCAAAACTGGAGCAGCTAAAATCTGGAGCAGTTGTGCATGGCAACCAATGAGCTTCTTGCTTTCATTTTCAAATCTTAACTCAACAAAACTGAAGAGAGATGCTGATTGGTCACCATGGGCAACTGCCCAGATTCTGTTTGCCCCAGTTTTGATTAATTCCCTCCCCCCTCTGTCTTTGTCACTGTGACAACATGCTCAAAACTGAACTCCATGCAAACTGTCTTAAGGCCTGTGTACATTGGCTTTTGCTCACTTCAAAACTGTTTCTTTTCTCATAACAGTCAATAAAAATGCAAAAGCTTCTAGCAGCCTGATTGATACAGCTTAGTCAAGTCAAATCCACCTGAAAAGGCACTGTCAAGATGGAATTCAAAAGCGATATCATATGCAAGCTAAATGCAACTAAAAGCACAGCTATTCACATCCTACCAGACAACACAGTTAGGTTCTTAAACCTGTACTGCGGAAGCACATACTGCTTTTTGGATAATGAAGAAGCAGTCAGCCCACAGCTCATAATTTTCTCTCTTCCCGTCATCCTTTTCCCCTTTCACCATATGTGCAATGCACCAAATATGATTGGTCCAGAGTGCTTGTCCCTCAGTCCAGTCCTCCCAGTGCTGTGCAGGGGACTGTGCAAGTATGACATGAACACAAATGTTGGTACTATACTAGCTGCATTTGTAAATGCATTAATTTTGAATACATACATAACTGTAATTTTATATCAGCATGGAGTACATCTTTATTAGTAAATGTAAGGATGAAAATCAAATGACACAATGTCGAACATACTCCACTTACAATTCTCTGTATTGTGAATTCATAAATCTTCTTTCCAGCATTTGCACGGAAAAACTTTCTGTACTCTCTACGTACCTAAACATATAGACATTAAAAATAATTAAGTTAATGACATTTTGAAATTATTTTGACAGCCAAAAGGCCATGTTTAACTGGGCACAGGAAAAAGAACAAAAGGAACAATCAGATTAGCTGCAATTTACAATGTGATTGTGGAGAGTAGCAATGAGTAAGTTGATTCAAAAATCTGTTGAATTGGTGAACTGCAAATGTCCTGATTCACCTGCATATTTGCATACAGATTTATTAAAACCACATATAATTGTACAATTCTCAAATAGCTTTATTTTGCATAGATCAGACAAATCAGCATGAAAATATTGAGGAAATTCTAAGAATTCCCGGATTCGAACATTGCTATTGGAGAGATGATATCTGACACATATAACAGCATAAAATCAATGCCATGGACATCATTAAACAGATTCAATTAAAAATGTAACAATTACAAATGAATTATACCATGCTTAGAATTTAGGTTCACCCATTACCTATTAGATTTAAAATGAAATACTTGTGGATTTGTAGGGTCAATGAACGTGAATGTACTTTGTGGTTGAAGTCTCCTAGTGTAACAAACCTACACGAAAATGCTCAAACACTAGAAACAAAGGAAATGCAGAATCTAGGTCCTCAGCGTCAAATTGGGGACAGATCTTGCCAAATTCATCACCCACAGTCTGGTTTTTTATATAATGTGCTGAAATAATATGTAACCATTTTAAACTAATGGCATACAGGGCTTGAGGCTGGAATTTGTGTACTTACACCAGGCTTAAATGTCATCACCAAATCTAAATGAATTCAGGAGCTAACATTTTCTTATCAACATTAGTTCAGAGTACAATTTGTCTAGCCATTAAAGTTAACCGAAGCATTTTATGAATGATAAAATAAAATGATGTTATAGGGGTAATAACAAGTTTAAATATTTGCCATGTAAAACTGAAATGTCTGCAGACACCAAAATACAGGTTATGTAGAAAGTGAAGTGGCAAGCACACATTTATGAAAATATCTCTGCTAATACAGCTCTAATTGTTAGTATGAGGCAACTTTTGCCTACCTATCTGTCAAGTAGGAGAAACCAGACCATTGTACTGAAAAGCACACAAAAAAAACAGGCAGACATGTACTTGTATATACAAGCATCAAAAGGGACCCGTCTTCAGGCTCCATTCACACTGGAGCGGTTGTCAGGCAGTCTCCGGGTTACGAACAAGATAGGGACTGTAGGTTTGTACTTAAGTTGAATTTATATATACGTTGGAACAGGTACATTTTTTAAGTGCAACTTATTAAGGGTCGTATGTAAGTCGGATGTTTGTAACTCAGGGACTGCCTGTATGTGAATGGAGCCTTACAGTGTTTGCTGACAGATTTCTGCTGCAAAGTACATTCATTTTAAAGGCTCCCGGCAGGTTGACCCCACTCTAATATTTACAGTTGTGCTCAAATGTTTGCATAGCCCTGGAGAATTGGTAATATATGTACCATTTTTGAAGAAAACATGGGTGAGCAGGCAAAACACATTTTTTTAAATTTCTTATGCGATTCATATTTAACTGTAGATCATAACAGAATGGCACAATCATAAAACAAAACATGGCAACAAGCAAAAAAATTAAATGACCCCTGTTCAAAAGTCTGCATACCCTTAGTTCTTAATACTGTGTATTCCCCCCTTTAGCATCAATGACAGCGTGTAGTCTTTTGTAATAGTTGTCTATGAGGCCCCGAATTCTTGCAGGTGGTATAGCTGCCCATTCATCTTGGCAAAATGCCTCTAGGTCATGCAAAGTCTTTGGTCGTCTTGCATGAACCGCACGTTTGTGATCATCCCAAAGTGGCTCGAGTTACTTTAGGGGGTTGATTTACTAACCTCACAAACACGCCACAAACACGCCATGCATAAACACGCCGATTGCGCGCGCGCGTGCGCGTATACGCTTGGCGCGGAAACGTATGCAGGTTATACAGATGCTTGATAAATACTACCAACGCGCGCACATGGCGCGTTAAAAAAGCTCACACCCCCCCATCCCCAAAACACCAGTGAGCCACATCCATGCCTTGTTGGCCCTTCTCCAAACATAGCGCTTATGGTTGTGACCATAAAGGTCTATTTTGGTCTCAACGCTCCAAATTACTGTAAGCCAGGAGCTGTGGGGCGTGTTAAGGTGTTTTTGGGCATATTGTAACTGGGCTTTTTTGTGGCATTGGTCCAGTAAAGGCTTCTTTCTGGCAACTCAACCACACAGTCATTTGTGTTCAAGTATCATTGTATTGTGCTCCTTGAAACAACCAAACCGTATTTTTCCAGAGCAGCCTGTATTTCTCCTGCGGTTACCTGTGGGTTTTTCTTTGTATCTCGAACAATTCTTCTGGCAGTTGTGGCTGCAATCTTTCTTTGTCTCCCTGACCTTGGCTTGGTATCAAGAAATTCCCAAATTTTCCACTTTTTAATGAGTGATTGAACTGTACTGATTGGCATTTTCAAGGCTTTGGATATATTTTTATATCCTTTTCCATCTTTATATAGTTCCAATGCCTTGTTATGCAGGTCTTTTGACAGTTCTTTTCTGCTCCCCATGGCTCAGTATCTAGCCTGCTCAGTGTGTGAGAGCTTACAAACTCATTGACTATTCATACACAGACACTAATTGCAGTTTAAAAAGCCACAAATGTGGGAAATTAACCTTTAATTGGCATTTTATCCTGTGTGTGTCACCTTGTGTGTCTATAACAAGGCCAAACGTTTCAAGGTATGTAAACTTTTGATCAGGGCCATTTTGGTGATTTGTGTTATCATTACGATTCATAAAGGAGTCAGACAACTTTGTGATAATAAATGGCATTATGTGATCGCTATCCTTAAATAAAAGACAGTTTTTTTGGCATGATCAGTCATATTTTCAATATTAATGCCAAAATTTCACGATTTCTGCCAGGGTATGCAAACTTTTGAGCACAAGCAAGGCCTTGTTTATGTTGCCACCACTAATCAATGAGTTGTAGAAAACCTTTATTGCCTTTTATTTAAATCTACAATATATACACATTTCCATAGAACAAATCTTCATGGAGCTTCGAACACTGCAGATAAACTTTTAAAGTAGCTACACACAGGAAAAATAGCATTACATATAATAATCGGATTATAAAAAAAAAAAAAAAAGACGTGGCAAAAACACATTACTGAATCCAGTAACGCTGCCTACTAATTTAAATGGATAAGTACTGGGACAGTGAGAGTTGACAGTAGAGCACATACGTCCCAGTTATTGTTAGACTAAAATGACCAATGTAACTGATAACTGGGCCTTGCACAAAATAATTAAAGGAAAAAATAATTACTATATAAAGATGAGAATTGATCCACCTGAACAAGATTATACCTGGACTGGGATTTATAAGCCATTTCATTGCAATAGTTGCCCTATTCTGTAGGCAGATCACGTTTTGCCCTGTGACCTAAAGGGAATCTGTCACTTTAGTGCAAAGAGGCAGGTTCTCCTAATAGGACACACCCACACCCCCTGACACTTTATATTCCAATGCTTGCCCACCACCCTATTTGCTTGCAGATGTGCTGGGTCTAATGAGCTTCTTCCCCCATTCTCTGTGACATTATTCTGTCCTGGAGAGTGGCCATTCAAGCCAAAGCATTGCATCCAAGAAGAAAGGGAAGAAGGCCACATGCACCCTTAACCAGTAGTACCAGATAGCCCCAAAACCTCTGACAAACTGACAAAGTGGTAGGGGAGTGCCGGAAAAGTATCAGTGGGTGGGGAGTGCCCTATCAAGGGCACCTTTAGGTAAACTGGTAAATGGATTAATCAGCTTCATGGAATAATAATTCCCTATTTATTAGACTGATGGCTGCTGCATCATGAAATTACATCAAAGGTGTCACTGGGGTCCATCTATCACTGTATTCACCCAAAAGTCACACAGCTTTCACCCAAGATTTACAAGAAAGGAAGATTCAATTTTAAGTTGAAGTTGTGTGAATCTTAAGTGAGATCATGGACAAATAGTCCTCATTATGTCAGTGTCATGTAGTTTAACCACTATAAGGTGAAACAGATTGCAGTGCCAAATTTGACAGGCTCTGGCAAAAAAGGTAGAGAGATCTTCTCATCTCTAAACTCTTATTTATAGAGAGACTCTTTAATGTTTTGAAATAGAAACTATGAACAAATATGCAAAATGTGCAAATAAAATATAATTCCATGTTATTTCTGTTCCAAACCTTTATAAACCTTAATATATGAACAATTACAATATTAAATGGGTAACACTTCTTAAGACTATTCTAAAGGACTCAAAGAAAAAAGCAGCAACCAGCTAAAAGACAGAAAGGAAAAAAATCAGCTAAGACCATGGTTAGCAATGAACTGATTTCAATGTGATAGAAACAGTACCTTTAGTCCAAGCCAGAAAGCCCAAATCACTGCAACTGCATGCTTACGCCTAGCCTCCTCCTTCAAGCGTTTTAATTCCCTTCGAGCCTAAAATGTTTAGATATTGAATGGAAACACAGCCGAAGGCAAGAAGCAAAATCACTAGAAGAGAATGTCTCCAAATAAAGTTTTAGACAGATGCTGGAGAAAATTTTCATATAAAACCCTTTTGCATGTTGGTTTAGAACAAACATGCATGAAAAAGCTATTGCACCAACGCTACAAAGTACCAAGAAGTAAAAAGGCATGAAGGCCAAATTAAGTTAAAGAAACAGACTTTGTGAAAATATTTTATGAAATATATTAGCTTAATCTATAAAAAACGTAAATTACATTTATTCTCATTTTTCTGGAAAGTACTTATTAAATGTTATTCCTTGTGCCCTATTTACATTAGCTGCACCTAACTTCATACACATCATACCTCTAATAATCACCAACACAAACTTGTGTTACAAACCTTTGCTTTTCCTGGAAATGCAATCCTGTGGGGTCCTCATTGTTGCTGCCTGTCCACAGTCTGTGCATTTCCACTAAAAAAAATAGTGTACTGTGTCCCTACACTTTGCCCACTCTGGGTAGACCTAGAACTGAACTGTTAGTGGAGTAGGGTGGCAGTTTGCCTTACTTCTTTAGGGGTTGGTTCTAAATGTTTTGGAGTGGAATGGGTTCAACTGTCTTTTAGCCTCCCTGCCCCCAGCCTGTCCATAATCTCTGACCTTGACTGTATGATACTAAAGCTATAAAGTTTATTAGGATAGAAGAAGGCAGCCCAAGACTGTTGGCCTAAAAGGCAGAAAGTATAAATATGGACTTGTTTATTTGACACTATCAAAGAAAAACAATACAATAAGTAGGTTAAAAAAAATCATTTTTGATCAAACAAGTCCAATTTTGCCTCACCAGGCGAGGAAGGGGAAGGCAATGGAATCCTTCCTGACTCCTCAAGGCAGCCAATTAAAATCCCTGTATCCAATTATTCCCATGCTTTTATTAGTAGGTATAACTTTTGAAATAATTTGTTGAAAGAAATCGATTGAACCCTTTTTAAATTCAGTTGTTGATTTTGCCATTACTGCCTGTGGTTGGCTATGCCACAACCTAATCAACTTTACTGTAAAGAATCCATTCATAGGGTGATAAAATCAATATTTTTTTTGCAAACTAAACAAGCCTAGATTAATTATGAGTGAGACCTCACCATTCCTCTTATAAATTTATTGGTGCACCTTTGTATCCTCTCCAAAGTCATTTTAGTATGATACCTGGAAGAGTACTCCATACTGACGATTTGTTAATTTACCATGTTTTATTTTTTTTGGGTGGGTTTGAATGCATGTAGTTTTAATCTCATTGTTACTAGTTTTGCAACGCTCTAATTAAATCCCCATTAATCCTTTCCATTTTTCTTACTACTCTGTGTTGCCAAATTTTTCTATGTCTCCCCTTCCCACTGATGCTGGTTTAAAATCTTAAACATTCTAACCAGCCTTTTTCTCAACACAGCTGCACTTCCCATTAAAATGCAGCTTTTCCTTCCTACTGAGTGCAACCCTTCCAGCACCTAACATTTAACTTTCTAAACTCTTCTGAACACAGCTGATAGTATTTCTGTAAATACAACCTTGAGTTCCTCTTGCTCCTATAGTTATCCACTAATGCTGAAACAGAAATTTTGAGAGCCTTCCATCTTCCACAAATGATGGAAATTAGTCACATACCACCACTGGATTCCACTCATTCAGAACTGATGTAGTAGATGTCTGAAGTCTGAACAAAACAAGCATTTATGAAGCTGCAATAAGGGGGAACTTCATTTGACATTTTTATTTAAAAAAATAAAACTCCAATACCTTATATCTCAGTTCTGTAAAAATATGCATATATTTTCATAAACCTCCTCAGTATTTGCAATATTTGTCCTTGCAGCAAAGCTCTCAGACCTGCTATTGTAAATACCTGTGCTTTTAACCAGGAAAACCATACCCAACCTGATTAAAAAGGACAGGGAGCAATGTGGAAAGCCTAGCCACTCATAACACCAAAACAACCACCATCTTTTATTTTTACCAGCTCTAAACTGAACTCAGATGGTTGTTCTAATTTACATTGCAATTTTTACATTATGACTGCTCTTCACACTGCTTCATTAAGCCAAAGTAAGTATGCATAGATGCAGTAAACTATGCAGGCACATGCTACAAAACTTTCAAATATTTTGTTCTATTTAAAAGATGAGATTTATGACGTGAAAAATACATTTAGAGTTCAAACACACTGGTTGACTGTTTCATGACCCCATCTAATTTCTTTGTACTTAGTACATTGTGCATGTTAATATAATCTGGAACATAACCCAAGACTCATTCACGATGTGTTTTGTGTTCCCACAAACTTTACTATGCATACTAAGTGTACGGAGCATGCAGTCACCAGAAAAACTATGAATGGTTCCAGGTGCACTCACCATGCAGAAGACACCACTACATGAAGCCCACTTACCTTTAGAAATATCTTACCACTCCTGATAACAAAGTGCAAGAAAATGTCTGTTTGTAGTCATCACATATTAAAACCTTTCTTGTACGTTAATATGCACATTAGATTTAACATTTTAAGAAATTATTAATTCTCCAAACTAACCAGATTGATCTAAAACTTCTGATAAAATAAATAACTCCAGCAAAAATAAATACATATTTGTTCAGTTTTGTGCAGAAGAGGATACTGTTAGGTCTGCATTTCTGTCTTGGACCCCAGTAAGGATATAAATCCTCACTTCCTCTACTAGTGACCACTGTCCCTGGCACAGGAAGGGAGATAAATCTCCCCAATTTGGGCACAGCAATAAACAGTCTGGCATTGCTTCTATTCCATACAAGCTCTGCTTAAAATGTTGTATTACTGTCTATGTTCCAGTTGGAAAGGTTCTCCGTGTGTTTTGTCTCAAAGACAAGTTGTCACCAGGACATGAAGTGAAGTAAAAGCTCCCTATCTGGAACACAGAGTGAAAAAAGCTTGACACACGATATAATCCTTCTTCACTTTTTCCAAAACAATAAAAAAAAAATAGTCTCAGATAAAAACAATGCAATGTTTTCTTGCCATTGAATGCACCATTAAGTGCATGCTTCAAAATGATACATGCATTTTGATTTTATTTGTATGGAACTAGAATTATACATTTTGTTAATGATAAGAGATTATATTTGTCTTATTATATTCGTTAAATACAAACTGCAAGAAACATGCAACACTGATGCAGGACACAAAATGTTCTTTTTTTTTAAATTAAAATGTTAAAGCAGCTAGCATGCACTACCCTACATTAAGGATGTTGTTAGTGATTATAAGAGTTAGGTGATGATCGTGAAAGTGGTTTTGGACACATGCGTGGAATACCTTAAGTCCAAGCCAGTAAGCCCTTATAACATCAACAGCCTGTTTATTCCTAGCCTCTTCCTTCAGTCGTCTCAGTTCCCTTCGCGCCTGTGGTGCATTCGAAATTGAAGTTTAAAAAGCGTAAAGTGTTGGGAGGACCCAGCTGAATGTGACCGGTGGAAAACAAGTAGAGAAGTGACAGGTGGGGAAGTAGGACTTGTTACAGCTGGTGTTATGTGATGGCGATCATTTGGCTATATCATAAATAAGTACAATCATTTCTATCACGGTATGGCCTAGATACCATATTCCACAGCTACAATGAAATGTTAAGAAGAGCCTTACTTGTGTTCCATGCCAATATGCTGCAATTGTTGTAGCCGCTTCATTGCAGAGCTTCTGATATTTAAGTTCCCGAAGGATCTTTCTTGCCTTTAAACATAAAAAGCATAGCACTATTCAGAATACTTATGAGTGTGGATATAACTACTTTAATATTATACATCAACACCCATGCAACTCGAAAAGCACATATACAGGATTTCTAAAATATGTGCTTCTTTGTTTGTTCACCTAATCGCTATGCAAGTTATTTTAAGAAATCAATCTTCTTCTTACACATAACATGCCGCCACATTATCTTTTATTCTATCGCACTATACTTTGACAAAGTAAGACTTTACAAGGATGCAAAGTGTTTAAAACTAAACTCCAAGATAAGCAAATATTGTCTGAATCCAAGACATGTGTATTGTTAATTGAATCTTGGTGTGCTTTGTGTATTTCTTCCAGATCTGTGATTAGATTTATATAATTTGTGGCTACTAAGGAATATTTTGAATTAACATTGTTGTGCCTGGACTTCAGTATTAACATCTCCATATCACCTTTGCAGTGCCGTAACATTTATAAATAACACTTCAACAATTTTAACTAAACTTTGCACAAGTCATGGTCATCTCATTTCGGAGGTCTCGTTTCTTTATTCTTGACAAAACCCTGCAGCTACACTATTTAATTGATGCTTTTTGTCATAAATGACCGGGACTTATGACACTCCTTGTTTCACAGATATTGATTACTGGATTTGTGGAATTCACAGTTTAGTGCCAAATAGCATTTTATTTATATCAGTTTTGTCTTTTGGGCCATGTTATTACACCCCAGTGACTCTGGTGCTGTATTGACAACACTCCAGTAGTCCAGAAGATGTTCCTGATAGCCGCTACGCAGTGGTAGGGTCTAGGTAAAGCATGGTATCATAGAGCCCAGAAGTTAGGTGTCACATTAGCATATTCTACATGTTTGGAAGTGCACAGCAGGGAGCAGACCTGGACTAACATGAACAATGCTGTTACACTACACCTTAGATGGCATCCTATATCCAAGACAAAATTATTTGTGAGGTCGAAGTTCAGCTTTAACCCAATAAGGACCCTTTTGCTGACCAGGCCTTTTTTTTCTTCATTTTTTGCACACATGTTATAATCTACATTTTGGGCCTGAAAATTACTTCAAACCCCCAAACATTATATATTTTCTGAAAGCCAACACCCTCTAGAATAAAATGGTGGCAGTTGCAAATTTTGTTAAAAATGCACTTTAGTTACATTTAGTGCCCCAAAACACAATATAATAAAATATGAGGTTACAATGAGTAAATAGATACCCAACATGCTTAAGTTACAAATTGCGTACGTCCATAAAAAGGCGCCAAAATTCCCCAAAAAGTCCAGAGACGGCGCTGTAAAAGCCCCTACAGGTCATCAATTTATAGAATTATTGCTCTCCCTCTATGTGATAACATATTGGTGGAGACAAGTGCTCTTCAAGGTGACACTGGGAATCCAAAAGACCCCTAGTGTCACCTTTCCATTTTAAATAAGCTATTGAGGTGCAAATCGCACTTCAATAGCTTATTGCTCAGCTTCAGGAGCCGAGCAATGACCGCTCAAGGACCGGAAAGTGATGCAATCTGCGTAGCTCCCGGTCCCATAGAGCGGGGAGGAGAGCAATCAACGGATGTTCCCTGCTCTCCTCCCCATCTTCCCGCTGGCACCCGGCATGCTGGTCCCGGGCCCGCAGAGTCGGGGAAATATGGCAACGGTGTAGGGGGAGGGGCGGGCACTGTACCGGCCCAAAGAAGCGATCTGACGACAGCTGACCTGCCAGAATTGCTTCTATTGTAAAGCTGACAGCCGGCTTTACAATTATAAACAGAGTCTGTTTAAACGGGCCCGCTGCCAATGACATACTATGTACGCCACTGGACACAAGGGGATTAAAGCTCTTTGAGATCCTGTGCTTTTATAGTGTTTTGGAGATTCTTCCATGTCCAGTAACTTTTTCATTTGTAGTCTATCCCAACATACATTATGGTTCAAGATAGAGAGAGCTTTAATTTTGTTGCAGATTTGGACAAATATATTTCTATTTTAAGGGTTTTAGATAAGAAAGGGGGCACAAATGTTTCTTTTACATTTTCTCCAGTGCAGTGTTTACATAAATGTTGCCCAAGTTATTTTTCCTTTAAACATAATCGGCAAAGCCTACTGACTACAAGTAAGCCACTGTATAAAATTATTGTAACAGTGAAACCAATTTTACAGAAACACCTGCAATCCTTTACAAACACATTTAACATATTTTCTTCCTTGTTTATCCTGCTTCATAACTGTTCACCTGACTATTTAAATTGTAATATTGGACCTTCATAAATTAGCATGAAGTCAACTTGAGAAAAAGCAGCTGGTAGAAGGTGCCAAAGTTTTAACATTTTGCATATTTTTTACAAATAAGTACCTAATATAACCTAAGTCACCTAAAACAAATTGATATACCAAGGTTCTAATGAATAACAGCTGAATGACTTTGTAAATTATTGACTTGCCTTCCATCCTCGGGTATAGGACTGCATCACAATGGTAGCACTTTTAATCCTCTTGTACTTATTCCGTTGCTGTGTTGATGAAAAGCAGTGATATATCAGTAAACAATTAACAGCGGGAATATCAGGCTTATTGACAATTATGCAGCAAACAATGTACATATATGGCCTCTGTGTTACAAAACACAATAATACTGTGTGAATATTTTGAGAAAATATATTACCATTTGTCATTTAACATTATACAGGCAAAAGTGCCTGTTGTTTGAACATGGAAATCGGAATAGTGTATTTTACTTTCTGTAACCCTGTCATTAAGGCCCAAGCGAGGCCAAATGCATAACGTAAAGTAAGCAATAAGCACCTACTCATGGTCCTGCTAGTCTGCTAGGCCAGGGCTCAAAATTTCCACTCGCCCCCTCGCAATTGGCGAGTGAAAATTGCGTGGGGGCGAGTGGAAATTCAAGGCGGGGGACCGCCGCCGATTCAGCAGCTGTGATCGCCGTGTCAGTTCTCTCTCAATTATCCTTGGCCGACACCTAGGACCTTGGCATGAGGGGAGGTCTGGATAGTTGTGTTATCAATCTCAACCGAATTGTTGGGGGAAGCTTATGAAGAATGCTTATTCCAGAAGTAGATCAGATAAAAAAAAACAAACAAACAACAACATCAACTTACAAGATAACGCCTGACCCATGCTGCCACCACTATCTGACTCTTCTTCATCAAAAGGAACTGTGTGCGACATTTCCACCCTCTATAGATTTTCTGGATAAGTGTTGCCAGATCTTCCAGTCTTTCTTTCCTCAACTCCTCCAACCTGAACAACTGTAATGTGCAAACAGACCTTGGTGTATAGCTAATGACATTCATGTTCAGTGACTTTTGAAATACATTTTCATCTACAGTGAATACATTTTCATCTACAGTGAAGTTCTGAAATAAATTTTTCAAGGTGAATAACAAAGAATAAATATATCACTTGGATTAAGACCAAAGGTTAATAAAATATTTTTGGACCCTCCCTTCAGTAAAACTAGGTTATTAACTTTGTGTCTTTACACTGGAGAAGTGTAAAGTCTCTAGTTTTAGACCAAGAAACATCTGTGCCTGTGGTTGCATTAAGTGTTAGGTATGTTACATATACACATTTATTTGTCTTTACATATAGCATGCAGTGTTACAGTGATTAAAAAAGCCGAAATACCGTTCGTGGGTTGCGGATGAAGATTTTTGACCTTCCAAAAGAAAATTCTTCTTTGGGAATTTGTAAGTCATTGAGTAGTACTTCTACACCGACTCTGTAACCAAAAGAAAACAAATCATTACATTTTGTGAGCAGACAAAAGCCAGCCATACACATGGAAATGTGATCAATCAGAACCAGTTGGATCAGACCCTTATAGTGCCTTCACACAAAAGTGTGCATTCACCATCCAGTGTAAGCAAGGAATCTCTCATCGATGTCCATGGAAAGCCGAGCACTATTTTTATTAATCTTATCAGTAGGGATTAAACACTATCTAAATCCAAAAACAAATTTTCTATCTATTGCAGCTTATCAGTTCTTAGATGAGGTAGTTGTATTAGTTTTCTTTTTCAGGCTCCATTCCATTATTTTCACCTGGTAATCCTCTGAAATCAAAAACATTCTACTTTGCAGAAGAAAGATAACCTTGTTTGTCATTTAGTTCAGCCAACAGTTACAAGTAAACTGCATTTCTGTTAAGATCAACAGGCAATTTCTATACTTTCTGGAAAACTAATGCAGCCACTGCATCTGAGCACACAACTGAGCTGAAATCTCAAGCCATGTTATCATCTTTCCCAGCCATTCTTCTGAATAATACAACCCCTTCTCCCTATGTAATGGAAATGAGGAAAGGGGGGAAGCGTTTGTGGTCCAAATTAGAACGACAGCCTAGACGGGGTGCAAGCAACCCTGCAGAGGTGGAGAACTACCTTAACACGGAAGATCATTACAGTGCAGCACACTTTTTGGAAGATAACTTTGCATGGCCCCAATAAAAAGTAAGGAACGTTTGAAGAGTTCAGGGGTTAGTAGTAATGCAGAGTTCAGGGGTCAGTAGTATTACAGAGTTCTGTAGTATGTAATGCAGAGTTTAGAGGTCAGTAATATGTAACCCAGAGTGCCTGTGTTGGGAGTAACTACCCTGGAGTTTAGAGGTCAGTAGTATGTAATACAGTATTTAGTGCAGGGGTCAGTAGTAAGTAACACAGAGTGCAGGGGCAAGGAGTAAGAGTGCAAAGGTTAAAAGTGGATAAAACAAAGTTCAGAGGTCAGTCATATGTAATGCAGAGTTCAAGGGTCAGTAGTAAGTACCACAGAGGTCAGTAGTAAGTAATTCAGAGTTTAGGAGCAAGTAAAGCAGAGTGCAGAGATCAGGAGTAAGTAACACAGAGAATAGAGAACAGAAGTAAGTAGTGCAGAGTTCAGAGGTAATAAAAGCAAGAAGAGCAGATCAAGGGATTAGGAGTGAATAATACAGAGTTCAGAAGTAAGTAGGTTGTAACACACAGTTAAGGGTCGGTAATAAGTAATGCAGAGTGCAGGGGTCAGCAATAAGCCACACTGTGTTCAGAGGTCAGTAAGTATGCAACACGCAGTGCAGAGGCTAGGAGTATGTAAGCAGAGGTTAGGCATAAGTAGCATAGAGTGCATCTTGTTTTTGCTTTTCCCTGCTGTTTACAAAATAAGACTTAAATGGATTTCAAGAGCTTCCTGATTGTATCTACCACCTTGAACAATTCCCTGCTCTCAGGCAGCTGCCATTATAGCCCACTATATGCTGAGTTTTGGGTCACAGGAGGACATTAATAAATGCACCTTACTAGCCCATTAGCCCTAAGTCCTCATTCTTCACTGCTTAGCTATTTTTTTTATATTTATCAAAATGCCAAAATGTTATTTTCAAACATTTAAACCATTTCTACCAAACGTTTGGTTTCATTTTTTGCAGTGCTGCATAAAAAACATATTTTAATGAATTATTTTTATTTGTAAATATCTCGGTCTTGCTTTGTACCAGAAAAATAAGTGACTAAAAATTTAGTGTTATGATAGATGTGACAAATTGCAGAATAAAAGGAATACTAAATATAGCAGCACAACTTGTTTAAATTAATTAACTGGTCAAACTAGGAAAACTTTTTTTAGAATTTTAATAAGAAATTGCTCCAAATTCTACAACGTGATTTTTCTGCTGACATTTGTCTAAGTAAGGTCATTTCTAATCAACACTGAATGCCTCCTAAATCCAGAATTTTATGTTTATGGATAGCCTAACAATGCAGTCCTTCACATGCAATGCATGACACAATTGTTACACGAATGCTATTATACAATATACTGTATATTGCTTCTTCCATTTTACAGCCTCATTTATGTGTTTATATCTGGGGGCTAAGATGAAATCAGTGGAAAAATATATATTCAAACTGATGAGGTTTTTTGGATGACCCCCTTCCTTTCAAGCAAATGCAAAATGTGAAATTCAGATGAAGAAAATTAACTATTAGTAGATAGGGAATTAAAGGAGAACTTGGGGTTAAGGCTTTTCCCCATAGTTCTCCTTAGGGTAACAGGAGGACACAAACTAGCGTCCTCCCATCACCCTAGGCTCAGTATACCGCGAGCTGTAGCTTGCGGTATACTGAGACGCTGCAGTATACCACGAGCTGTTGCTCGCTGTATACGGAGACGCCGCAGCTGAATTGTGCCGAGATCCGCCCAGCTGCGTGACTGACAGCTCGCTCTGCCTATCTAGAGGCAGAGCCAGCTGTACCCACCCCCTCTCCCGTCCGTTCCGCCAGTCAGCGCTGGCGGATCGGAGGGGGGAATCCAGCCCCTCCTTTGTCACGGCAGAGAGCCGTGACAGGATCGAGAGGTGAGCGAACGCCGGTATGTGTTCGCTCACCTCCCGATCTACTGAGCCGACCTGTGACAGTCTCATGTAGTCCAATGGTAGTCCACATAAGATACCACAGTCAAATCTGGGGGGGGCACTAATCATTTTCATTGCATGTCGCAACCGCAGGGCGCCGAGAGCTGATTTAATTGAGGATGGCGTCTGCGCCCTGCGGTTCCAACATGTAGTCCAACGCTGCCTACAATCCTGAATACCACAACCGTTTATTTTTTTAAAACTTTTTTTGTATTTTTTTTGTAATTTTTTAAAAATTTTTACCTTTTATTAAACTTTATTTTTTTATTTGTTTCACTTTTTTTACATTTTTATTTATTTCACTTTATTTTTCTGACTTTTCTTAATCTTAGTTTATTTTATTTTTTTAAACTTTTCTTTTTTTTTACTTCATTGCTGGGAGCAATAGCCAGCCTGCTATTGGATATTTCAAATTGCAATAGCCAATAACAGGTTGGCTACTGCACCCACCCACTGCCTGCTGTCAATCAGCAGAGGAGGGACGCTCACAGACTGTCGGAGGGCTCTCCTTACAGGCTGTAATCGACAATCTGTCCCCACTGACACAGATCGCTACAGCCTGTAGGGAGAAACCGCTGGCAGTCCCTGACCCAGCAGATAACTGTGTTATAACCGTCCCGGACACAGTTATCTGCTGGGACAGGGATTCCATTTCTCTTGCCTTGCGTTAGCGCCGGGACTGCTGCCACTGTTAGCGGGGGGCACACAGGGGGGCAAGTGATAACCTAGGGGGGGCAATTGCCCCCCTGTAGCGACGCCACTGGGGAGCAGTATTGCAACGGGACCATCAAAAGAAATCACAGACTGCAGCAGAGAACATAGGCATCCAATACACAGGGAAGTGAGTATAATGTGGAAATTCTTTGGGCAACTTTACTGATTCCACAGACAGGGCATGATGGGAAAGCAGAAGGCCTCTTCTTTTGCAGTATGTTTTTCTTTCTACATTCTTGTTTCAATGACAAAGTCTCTTTAAGAAGTCTTTGCTGTACTTTGAATTGGTTTAGTAAACGGATTTTGGGTTCCTTTGAATCCACCTTACCTGGTTATACATTCCGCAGGACAGTAAAGGAGAATAAATGCTGCTACATAGACAGATTCTCCTGCCTACCTAATACTAGTGTGAATAGGCTGACCACTGTGAACCACTGACATATGAGTACACACATCCTGCTCACAGTAGTGACCTGCAGATTGGGACATTAATATCAATTAAACCCAATGGCTAATTATCACCACACTTTTAAAAGGAAAAGGTTATGAACCAGACATAAGTTACATTTTACATCTGACCTTCCGTTTTTCTATTATATGTGTACATATACTATTACATAAGCACACTAATTAAAAAATATACCTTGCTGGTCCTTTCCAGTGTGGCCATGTCTGTTTACACAACATCTTGTATCTCTCAAGACAAGGGTCATATGGTTGCCTGAAGGCATATCCTGCTCTTCTGACTCTGACATTTTCAAGCAGACCAAGGTAACTAACTTGGTGTCGTACAAGAGCATCATTGAAGATATGGGCTGCCTTCTTGTCATTTGGCTTAATACATCTGAAAATTTAACAGATTGTGCATATTACAAATACAGAAATCAAGATTTATGAATATGTATAGGTATATGCATTTTAGCTGTGACATTTACATGTTAAAATATGGCAAGGTAAATCAAAATTTGTTTATAACTTTCTAAAATGAGCACCCTACCGGATATAGTTAGGATTCTTTGTTTGCAAGTTTTTCATTAGAATTGATACTGAAGCTTTGAACTGTGAACCAGCAGTCGGTGGCCTTTTGAGGTTAATCTTGGCTGGGTTTCCCTCTGGGAACATATCCTTGATAAGGCCATGGTTTGCTTTCCACATAGCTTGTGAGAGGTCACGATACAACAAGTCATTGTTCTTATCAACAAAGCCTTCTACCTGATACATAACCTGGAAAACAAAGAGGGCATAACATTCTACAACTTAGATCTTTGAATAGATATACTGTCCATTGTTCTAAAGAGTTTTAAGCTTAAAAAATATCACTGTGTCTTTGGCACCAAAAGGTATTAACCTATAATTACCTTCACATTATGAAACCTGAGTAGTTGAAAGTCAGGATACGAATAGGTTAAAGTATAGAGAGGATGGCACATACACTATAACACTTTTGACATGTGCAGAATAGTGACATCTTTTTGGGCATACATGATGATGCCATCACATGTTAATGTGGTGTCAACACACCCTTAAAAGGAGAACTATGGGGTCAGGGCTTTTCCCCATAGTTCTCCTAAGGGTAACAAGAGGACACAAACTAGCGTCCTCCCGTCACCCTAAGCTAAGAATACCGGCGAGCTGCGACGCCGCAACCGGGACGGATCCCGACATTACTGTCGAGATCCACCCAGCTGCGGGATTGACAGCTGGCTCTGCCTATGTAGAGGCAGAGCCAGCTGTGCCTCCCCCTCCCCGTCCGTTCCGACCAGTCAGCGCTGGAGGATCGGACAGGGGATGGGGGGAATCCCTGCAGGGAGCCGTGAGTGACAGTCACGGCTCTCTGCGGGGATAGATCGAGAAGTGAGCAAGCGACGCTATGTGTTCGCTCACTTCCCGATCTATTGAGCCGACCAGTGACAGTTTCATTGTCACAGGTCGGCTAGAACTATGAGGCTGAGTGTTTTTCACTCGCCTCAAAGTTCTCCTTTAATGACAGTTGTCTAACTGGGTCCCTTAACTTCAGTGATCTAATAGAAAAGCATGCAATATGTAGGGTGATCCTACTATTTGGTCTAACCAGGACATCCATAGATCATATCTGATTAAAATGCTCTCTACTTCATTTAAAGAGTATATTCCAAGAAAAGTTACCTATTCTTTTCTTTAAATTAAGCAACACAACAAATGAAACAAGCCAAAACATCCTTAAAGTGTATGTTCGGGCAAAGTAAAAAACAAACAAACAACAATTCAGTACATCTCTGCAAAATATGCACATGTCCTGTATTTTGTCCCTTTAGAGACCCTGCAAGCAAAGAATAATAAGCTCCTAAGATTATCTCCTAAATCCTGTTGTGGGCCCCAAACACATTTTTTGTGGACTAAGTGGCGTCAGGCCTGCCCATTTTTCTTTTGACCACTACAAAGCACCTCTAGGTATTTGTTTCACTTATCAGAACTAAGGAACAAATGTAACCACATGCTTACAGTAGAATATTTAACAGATAGAAATATGTGAATGATCACATAGATTTGCAACCTTGCATGGTCCCAAATATTTGAGTGGTCAAATACGTTTCAAATGTATGTGATCATTCCATAAAAGCAGCTTTGCACTTGATGACAAGCTTTTGAGAAAGATGACAGCATATCTTATCCTGCATAGGGAGACAATTTTGCTCCTCCATAGATACAGTAAAATGAATGAGCGTGGTCACTCAGGACAGAATGTGTGTTACTGGCAGGCTCGCCAAGTGGAAAATAAACGGTAAAAAACAAATGCAACCACCAAATCTAAGCACTGGTAAACTGCGATATATTACATTTTGTTCATGAGTTTAGAGACAGTTCAATATCTAAATAAAACTGCTGGTGTAAAATGCTCACACTATAAAAGGATGCTCGTGCCTGTTTGTATATATGTGTGTGCATGCTCGTTCATTTGTGTTTGGAGCGCCCTTTGATATTGGATCCTAAAAGCTTGATAACAGGTTTCTTAAATAGGAATACCTTGCCAGCGTAATGCTGAATCCTGAAGCAGCTGTGTGGGAGAGACGTATCATTCAGGAAACGCGAAGACTTGCACATTCGACTCTCAAAATGCTGGTGTGCAGAACAAATTTGATTCAGTTTCTCCAAGAATGTGTCATCAGTAACTGTGCCTGGCCGCAAACATTCTTCATCCAGCATAGCCAGAATTCCATTTTTGTTCTGCAAATAAGTCATACAAACATATACTGTGATCATGTATTTGCAATGTTCAAACTGATTGGTACTGTGCAACCTGTAGGTCACTGAGGTTCTGGAATTTCAGGAATGTGTCTTTCAGTTATGCACCTTCCACAAAGTAAAATGAATATACTGAATTAATGCAAGTTTCTGCAATATATTAAAAAGCACCTTTATTAAAAATTCTAAACGTTAAAATTATAATTAAAAAAAATCATACACAGTAGTATGACAGGCAGATCTTTTTGCATTAAATTAATTATACATGCAAAATGTCAATAGGGAATATTTAATGTTGTACATATGATAATGGAAAGGTTTTATAAGCAATCTTTATAAAATACAATAGAATAATAAATGTTAAATACCTATTTAATCAGAAGCAGACAGTTTTTATTCATGTGTTCATTTGTTTCCAAAGGTTTTGTAGAATTTAAGCAAAAAAAAATAGAGCGAGATCAATAATAAAGTCTGCAGTAACTAAAGATAGCAATCTGTAGATTATCTACGATTAAGCCAATGTAGGGTGAAACGTGTCAGGGTGGGGCAGATTGGTGCAGCACATGTTGCACTTTAAGTCAGTTTTACGCAGTGATGCCATCAGTGGGCGGCTCACTGGGAGTCTGGGATTTTCATACTCACTAGTGTGTGTGTGTGTGTGTATGCTCTGCTGGCGGGCTCCCGACTTCCCCTTTGCATTGTAAGTTGGATGCTGGGATAGCGCAGTGTCATTTTAGTGACAGCAACATGTAGTAAGCAGCACATTTTTTTACAACAGTCAGTGCAATGAAAGCTTTCTGGAAAGAAAAGGCTACAGCTTTCTGTTGTTTTATTTTTACACAGCAGTTTCTTTACTGAGATAGAAAAAAACACTTGCATGGAACTTGAAAGTAAAATATTAAATGCACTGACAGATAACTTACCAAAATGTATTAATTTTTTTACACATTATTGTTAAGTTAATTATATTCTTGATATTCCTCTGATATAATATAATAGACCTCTTGTGATATGTTTATTAGATAGGTCAGCACTTACATTTTCAATTAGATCACAAATAATGGCATTGTTGAAGTATTCAATATGAGTCCACTCAATACCCTAAAATTACAAAGAGTATAAAAATTGTTAGTTACATTTTGGAAAGTGAAAAAAAATGTCAGCATTTTCTTTTACTATGCGGTCACATATATCTGTACAAACTTTTGTTTTATTTGCTGGCTACTGTGTCAGTTAATCACACTGCATGGTGATGTGTTACAATACTGCTTTATTAAACAGTTAATTTCTTATGGAGTTAGAAATGCAGTATCCTTTTCATTAACTACATGACCATATTCGGTGCCCTTGAACTGCTTCCAGGCTTGGTCTCCTTTCCATTCTTTGAACTGTGTCAAATTCCCATGCACTTGAGTGGAAGAAAGCCAGAGTCAAAGGCAGTAAATATTTCTCATAGTTATGTTAGGTATGTCCTTGTTTTAGAGACAGATGCAAGTCTAGCTAGAATATTTAAAATATGTAAATAAGTAATCAACAAATGGAAATAGTGCTTGATAGAGAAGTAACTGTTGGGCTTTTTGTTACCTCATATATTTCAGCCTTTTTTATTGTACGCACACATCTAGGAAGGGTCCTTGTGAAAATAACATGCAGAACTATGGTAAATTACAGGCTTGTTTTGGTCAATGTGGTCAATGTGCAGCATTAGCCCACCATCAGCAACTTACA